GGCCGCGGCTGCGGGTCTCAGCGGTCCGGGAAGGGCCGCGCTGCTGCCGCTTCCCCGCAGAGCCTCCCGCCAACGGCCCCGGCCCCCGCCCCGGCGGTCACCCCCAGGGGGAGGGCCCGGTCCCCGCCCGGGGCCTCCTCCTAGGAAGAGCGCCGGGGTCCGTCCCCGACCCGCTCCGGAGAGCGGCACGGCAGCACACGTGGACACATCCTCCGGGAGCGCCCCGCCGCTCTCCGTGCGGAGGGAGGGAAGGCAGGAGGAAAACCCCAGCCTGGCCCGGCCGCCCTCGCTGGCGGGAGCTGCCCGCCCCTCCGGTTCGGCAGCACCACCGTTCCCCTCCTCGCCTGAAGCGGCCCTGAGCTCAAGAGGTTACATCCAACAGCTGCTCGCAATAGCTTACTTGGGCAAGGGAAAAACTAGTATAATCTTTCTACTAAGCCGTGTATTTACCATCCGCTTGTTTTTTCCTTCTGAAACAGCACGGCCGTACAAAACGGTCACTAGGAGATGCTTCCAAATGCAAAGAGAACAAATGCACCCCTGCTGCCCCCAGCAAAACAGACACAACCCAGGGAAGGGCACGAGCCAGGAGCCCCGTGATGCCGCGGCTGCTCCTTCTGTGGGACAAGGAGGTTCAGCGCAGCTCCCGAGTCTCTGCCGCCGGAGCAGCAGCTTTGGGCTCCCAGAGCTCAGCTGCTGAGGAGCCAGACAGCTCTTGGCCAAGCTCTGACAGCTCCCGGCTGGGCTTTGCACAGCACTCAAGAGAGTCCTGCTTGTCTGTTCCTTCTTGTGCCAGCCAGCGGCATCTGCAGAGGGGACACCTGCAAGAGGCCAAAGGCCAAGCTCAGACAAGCCTGTGCTGGTAGGACCAGCCGTAGCTCCACAGGACCGGCTGTCGGGGAGGATGCACCCTCCAATGCCAGCCCTGACAGACACTTGGTCCTCATGGAATGGAAGTCACAGGTTCTCAGAGTCCCCGTCCCCTCAGCTCAGATTATCAACAACTAGACTTTCTTTCTGGCTGCCGTTCACTCGTACAATATGCAGACATTGCATGGAGATGGGAGAGAGAGGTGCTGACAGGATTTAGTGACCCAACTCTTTTCTCCAGAGAGAGACTGGGGCTACTGCCACCTCAGTTCCACAGGCTTTTTCCTCAGAAGGCTACTGGTCTCACAAGGTAGTGAAGAGTTGTTCTCTTGTCATCCAGTTTAAAAACTTGAGGGCTAACGCATGGAAAAGGAGCAAACTCTCATTTTTCCTAACTTTAGAGCGTTTCAGCAATGAGTAGAGCAAAATTTGACGAACAAAGCCCAGGGGGCAAATGAGCTTTAAAGGAGGGATGAGGCCTTGAAATTCCTCAAATTCTGCTCTTTCCTGGCAACACAGTGTTGTGCCTGTTGGGCTTTTTGGTGGCAGGGACCCAGCTGCTCTCTCTCCTGTTTGCTTTGCAGTTTAGGGCAGCCACAGCAGCTCTGGCATGTTGCCCTCTGCCTGCTCTGGAGTGGAGGAGATGCCAGCACTGGGAGCAGTGCTCAGTGCTTTGCTGTTTTGGGGAAAACGGCTCAGGTCAGAGGTTTTTCTCTGTTTTCAGTGTGACGTGTTTTGCCAAGGGCTGTGTTCCACATGGGTATGCAATCCCCAACCTCAAGCTAGGAATATGAAAATACTCTCTCTTGGCAAGCGAACTCAAATAACACAAGCAATTCCTAAAGGAGATTTATGGCTTATGGAACCTGCTACGTTTGAATTACAAGACCAAGGTCTGGTAACGTAAAGCCAAACCAGATAAGAAGCGAGACCCTAATCTGCTCTGCATCTACAGCAGAGGAGATGTGAAACGCAGGCAGCCCGCTCCGGAAGGGGAGTGCGCTGTGCCGGATGAGAAGCCAGCAGCACACACAGAAAGTAAGACGTCAAAGTGACTTCACAGCAAACAATACGCATAGGCTAGGGACCACCACTACTGAAGAGAGGGACAGACCTGACCTTCTCTCTGAAATAATAAAGGCGCTTTTGTGAAACTGGGCTTGGAAGCCTGAAAAACCCTCCCACGCTCTGGTGGGTAACCCACAGGCATGAGTGGGAGAAGTGGCCATCTGACACTACAAGCATCTCCCAGGAAGTGGGAGATAAAGCTCCAGTCCCTGCTGTCTCCGGTCCCTCCCAGAGCTGTGCCCTAACGAGCCAGCTGAGGACTGTTCTTTGAGCAGAGCATCTCCATTTTCCTGCTGAACTGATGAAGTAGATCCACAGTGCAGGCAGACACAACAGTCACAAGGGGAAGGGGGTTCAGTTAGTCATCTGTAGCAACAGGCACTGAGGCTTCCTGGCGAAAACATCCTTAAGATAGCTCTTGATGGCTTCAGCAGTATTCTCAGCTCACTTGCCAGAGCTAAGCGTCATATACTTTACTCACACAAATCTCACATGCATTTTGCCCCGACTGCCTGTGAAGATTCACCTCCTCAGGGAGACCAGGGTGTACCAGATCCATAAAAGTACATGGAAAAGAAGTCTGGTGACTGCTTCTACTGCCAGTACCACTGTCCAAGGATGCAATAGGGTTCAGTAGCTAGAATGTACATCCTTACACTGATAAAACAAATGTCCGTACAATTCCTAGGTCTCCGCCTCAGTCCTATACTGGGATCAGGGTTAGCATAGAATAGCAAATCAAGAGTGATACTTGGTTGAAGGCTCTAAGCTCTGGCACTGCCTCAGGTCTCTGGAGGTGAGGCAAGAGGAGTAACAGTACCTCCACGAACTGAAGCAATGGGGCTGCTCCTTGTTTGACAATACCAAGGGGTGGAGTGTGACTGTTCACTCGACTCCTGCTCAGATGTTAACCCAGCTCGTGCTAAGGCCTGATGTGTGTAGGGAGCAGCGCCATCAGACTGAAGCAATGTAGGCAGCAGAGGTGGTGAGAAAGAGCTCAAGGTCCACAATGCAGTTGTCATCCCCTGCAGCTGGCTGTGTTCTGCAGCCACCACCCGTGTCTGGCAGTATTGTCAGAATCTGCTGACTTTAGGAAACGGTATAGACCAGATTTCCAAGCTAGAAGTTATAAAACATCAGCTTACCCAAAAAGCCTTTGAAGTGGATCCAACAGCAGATGGATCCAACAGCAGCTTCTGCTGAGGCTTTTGTTCTTCCCAGAGTGGCACAGGGAACACCAGCCAGGGAAGGATGAGCACTCTCACTAGGAAATTAATTCTTTTTTTGGGGGGGTTGTTTTCTGGCTCATAAGTGCGTGAATTGTTATGGGTTGTTAAGTTTTGAAACCTCACGATCTGAGTGGTGAATAAGTGAATTCACAGAATATATGAGTCTGGGAGGCAAAGGGGACTGAGCCCCGTTTGTTATGTTTGTTTGTTGTATTTCTTCATGAGCTCATGAAATAAAATTTTATTCACAGAGTACATTGCCCTGTAAATCCCAGGGGCAGAAAAAGAAAGAGGAAGAGGAAGGGAAACCAAACCTGTAGATGGACACGGGAGGCTAAAGGAGAAGCACATGAGTTTGCCACCTCTGAGAGATCTTAGTTCATCATGTGAGAAAGCACTTTTCCTGCCTCTCAGTTTGACACCAGTCAGTGTTGGGGGAGCTGGGAAATCCCGGGGCTGCTGCTTGTGGACAGGGGGTTGTTCAGTGACCTCCTGGCTGTTCCTCCCTTCCCAAGGTGTGAGGATCTGGCCAAAGGAAACGCTCTCCTGCAGGAGCACCTTGAGAAAGCAAATGAGTTGAATTCTGCCCTTAAAGGAGATGTTGGAAAACTGAGGGTGGATTGGATGAGGGCACAGGAGGAGCTGGAAGTAAAGGAGAGAGAATGGGAACCTTGGTAAAATTCCTTTACATCTATGAATGACAAGTAGAGTATATTAATGAGATAGAGCAGGAGCAAGAATGAATGAGAGTAATTAGAAGTATGAGAAGCCTTCTGGCTGTGCCATACATTCATTCCTATCTCTGAGGAGAAAACAGACTCATTCCTCAACTATCCAGTAGCCTCACTGCTTGACTGACAAGTTGTGTCCTGGTCCCACAGTGTCAGAGGAATGATTTGTCCCCAACAAAGTTGTCCTCTTTCCTGCCAGATTTTACTCTTGCACGATGGTGTGCTTCAGAAAGGAGTCAGCTGATAGAGATGGTGGTGTGAACAGTGGCTCTTCCTTTATTCTTCTTCAAAGATTTGTCCAAGCAGAAGGCAGAGCAAATGAGGCTCTGGATTTGTAGTTGAAATAACTCCCATCAGGGGGATGGGGTATGTGTGAGCTGCCTCTCTGCTTGCTCCTTCTCCCAGCCAGAGAAGACAGACATCTTCCCTGCTCCTTATTGCTTGTTTGTGCTCTTTCCTTACCCATTCCTTGCAGGCCCTAAAAGAAGAGCTTTCTGCCAGGCAGGAGTCCCTCCATTTCCTGCCGCACCAGCACAAGGAAGCAGGAAGAGAAGTGCAGGAAGCTGCAGCAAAGGCTTGAGCAAAGGAGGAGGAATGCAAAACGTCCAGCAGTCACCATCAGCACCTCCAGTCTCTGGTAGAAGAACTCAGAAGATGAGTGTTTCTTCCTCCTGTGTTCTGGGGGCCATCTGCTTCCAGTTCTGGGAGTTCAGAGGTGGTATGGGCAAAGAACTTGTCTGCCTTACCATGTGTCTGCCTCTGTTTGACCCAAACCTTTGTAGCATTTGCCTGGCAGTTTCACCTTTAAAATGCTACAGGCACATTAACAGGTGACCCAAGGAAGATATTGGAAGGAAAACGTACACTTCCAGCTCCAATTTTTTGCAGCCAGTTTACTGTTTGCATGATGTTAATGATGGCAAAACTAGTTTGCCATTAAGCAGAGGAATCAAGAAACAAGTGCTTCCTCCCACACCAATCAAAAGTTGCATCAATCCT